CCCGACGCAAGCTCCCTAACATCTTGATGATGCAAGTACAATGGGATCTGAGTTTCTCTTCCAAATGTAGTAGAATCCCAGTGTACATTCATCGGCACATTTGAAATGATTTTAGCGAGCTCGTCTAACGCACCAAGAGGGTCATCCTCAGATAAATGAGTCTTCTTCGGTGGAGGACTTCCCTCTTTACCTATCTGCTGTTAAATGCAAAAATGGTTATGTTATAACGTCAATTAGAAGTAAATATTAAAATTGAGAAGTATATAGTACAAGTGTTTACCGGGGGATTAGATACATCACCAACCAAATGTCTAGGCCAGGCGACAAAGGACTTAAATGCTTCTTCCACAGTGAAGAACTCATCTGTAGGCACAGGAAGAACGGCATCCGCTATGACAACTTCATCCACCGTGACCTTGACCTCATCTTCTGAAAGTTGTACACCATGCACTAAAGTGGCTGTCTCATAAACTGTACCACGAGCCACTAGCACGGTCCCAGTATCAGAAAGAATAAATAACTGACATGGACGAGTTTCATCCATGTCGTCCCCTGGGGCACCGGAAGCTGAACAACTTCCTTTACCGCTTCTACCTGTCAAATTAAATGTTAGGTTATGCAAAAAGTAAATTAGTTACCAAAAATAAATAAGTTTACCTGTAGGGGGCACAACATGTTCCGCTACAGGAGATGGCGGAGGACGATTGCCATAATCCTCATAATGCTGCTGGAACTGGCGCGCAACCATATCAGCAACTTCATCATACAACTCTGCTCGAACCTTCTTTGTGATCTCCTGCGTCATCTCTTTTCTTATTTCCTCCTTCATCTTTTCGTATGAATATGGACGCGAGGAAGACCCAAAAAACTGTCGTATGCCTATGCCAGTCCCAGCACCACGCACTCGTCCTGGGTGCTCAGGTCGTCCAATAGCTGTGGCAAGAATATCTTGACGACCTTCTTGTGTGAATTGACCTTGGGAGCTCTGCTCAACCAAGGAGTCCTGTCACATAACAAAAGTTCAAAATCATTAGAAAAATCTATGTAATATATATAACAAAATTAATGTAAAAATATAAGGAATGACATCTTACAATTCTTTCAGATATTTCTCTGGCAGACTCGGAAGTGTAGGAGCCCGATGGTCTTATACGGGCTAACTTCCACTTCTCGTGCCGAGATGGTGGTGAAGGAGGAGGAGGAGGGTCACAACCCTCAGAAAGTGGAAGTCTGCTATCTGACTTCTGCTTCATTATTTTTTCTTCAAGCTTCCTATATCCACCACGAGACAGTATGTGTGGATTTTTATTCTGAGCGCTTATTCCCTGTGCTTTTGACCTTTTTTCCTGTGACAATATGAAACAATTGTCATAATATAGAATTATGAATGATGAATTGAATGATTTTACTGTACTTACCTGCCACGCCTCGGATGAACGAAGCTCTACAAACTGACGCCATGTTGCTTCGTCAATTGCTGAATATTTGGAACATGGATTTTCATTACTTTTTGGTCCAAATATATATCTAGACGTCAATTTTGTCTTAAACCCTCGAAATCTTTCTGCAATTGCAGATAAACACTTATTCCTTAAGCTCTCGATGTTTGGCATATCAAATGTTATCTGCAACAAAGAAAGTAATAATCTTATATCAATACAGATTTATCAATATAATGAATATAGAAGATGGAGCAATATTGCTTAACTTACCAATAGATCTTGCCAGATGAGATTCCGATCAGCCTCAGAAACATGGTCAAAGGATGGAGTAAGTATAGAGATACGATCACGTGCCAATACTCCAAGGTAAGACCTAAATACATCTGCATTTGGGCCAGATGCAACTCCAGTGACCACGTCAATAATGATAGGTGTCCTCTCACCTGCATTTCTTCTAAGTATAAGCTGTCGTAACCTCGTTGCTCCTCTCGTCCGTCTAGAAGTGGTGGGGACTTCATCGCCTGATGAATGAGGTGACTCAGCCATATATCTGTCACAATAAATAAGATGATATATAAATAAAGCACTTATAAAATAACATATTATTTAACAATTGCCATAAATATTTACACAAACATGAAATTCATACATAATCATATGGATTGGTCATATATATATTCCCTCATTGTGATCTTCTCGTATTGCTTGTATGTCATCAATTAGAGGGTCGTCATCCAAATTTATTGTCGTTTTAAATGGATGGCTGTCAGCGATATGAAGATTACTTATATTCTCTTCTTTATCTTCAATTTGCCTTTTTCCTTGGAGAGCAACATACCAATGGTCAGACGCAGGATCTTTGACATAAAAAACCTGACTTGCTTGATATGCCATGATGAACGGTTCGTCTCTATAACCAACCTTTCGAAAATCAACAAGTGTCATACCAGATTCATCTATTTTGACACCACTCTTATTGTCTACCCACTTACATTTGAAGAGTGCAACGGAAAACTTAGTGTAATCAACTTCAAATATCTCTTCAATTCTACCATAGTATCTCATGGATCCAACTATAGGATTTTGATCTTTGGATGTTGAAAACTGTAGCGACTCAGCTTCTAGACTGATGCCACTATTTTGTACTGTGCTTTTATCATCCAAAGTCTTTGTATAGAATGTGCAATTATTAATTTCGTAGCCTGTACAACATACAACATCAAACTTCAAGCCATTTGCTAACCACAACAAAGTCTCAGAGGACCGTGATTCTTTCGAAACTTCAGATTTGAACCAGGACAAGAATGTTCTGTTATGCTCCATCAACTGTCATTTCTCTGATTGTCGTGGATAGTTGTCCCTTACAACGGCTTTGTGTGCTTCCAAAAATGGGATCACTTCATCTGTGTTGTTTAATATGTACAAATGTGCTAGCATCAATTCTTCACGACTTTTCGTCACCACATTCACACCTCGGATGCTTTTACTTGTAGAATATCTACTCAACCATGATGTCCGAGGGACTCCTATCGGATTTGCTTTAGTCATATACTCAGAGCAAAACTCAATACTTTCTTCAGCAATATATCTTTCAATCATCGAACCTTCTGGACGATATTGATTTTTCCAAAACGGGTTGAATAAGCACCGATGTATATAACGTTGTACGCTTCGGTTTTCATATAACTGAGGTGTATAATGGGCGTCCAAATCCAAATTTTTTACTAGTGTAAATAGACTACCTTCTACTGTTATTAAAGATAAAACCCCTTATGATGTATTACATGCTAATCCCCCTTACTTATCTTGATCTGAAAGTTTTTGGTTGTCTATGTTTTGCTTTAACTTTGGAAAATAACAGAAACAAATTAGATTATAGAGCTAGAAAAGGAATATTTCTTGGGTACAAGAATGGTGTAAAGGGATACATTGTTCTGGACATCAACACTAGGGGAATTTTCATTAGTAGAAATGTCATCTTTTATGAAGACATTTTTTCCTATAAGAATAAACAGAGAGATGAGAGTAACTGCAATAATGATGAGGAGAGCATATTTTTTTATAACAGTTTGCCCTGCAGCCATGATGAGAACTCGGGTAAGGACAGAAGGAATGTTCAAAGCACTACTGAGAGCATTGATATATGCACTGAAAACACTGATCTTGTTGAAGAAGAGCAAGAAAACAATCAAAGAAGGTCTAACAGCGTAAAAAGGACCCTTGAGTATTTAAAGCATTACATATATGAAACTGATCAATCCTCATTTGCGTCCTTGTGTCTCAAAAATGTTTTAAAAACTCCTTATCCTATCACTAATGCTTTATCTTATGAATCTTTATCTGATAAACATTTGAGGTACACCCTTGCCATAAATGCTAACAAGGAACCCAACTCCTATGATGAGGCTAAGAATAATCCAGAATGGGCTGAAGCCATGCAGAAAGAAATCAAAGCTCTACAAGATAATGATACTTGGTGTACCAGTGAGAGCCGGGCGCCGTACGAAAGGCGCCCATGAGGTGACGGGGCGCCGCCCAAAGGACGCCCATGTCACACCCGCCATAGACAAATGCTGGACCGCCCCAGTCTTAGCCGCCCAAGGACGCCCATGTCACGCCTGCCACAGAGAAAAGCTCTGCCGCCCAGTATTGACCGCCCCAGCAGATACGGACTGAACCTAGCCCGTATAAACTCTCCTGCACCAGCAAAATGTCCGGCATCACACGTATGGACGCCCACTAATGTGGTCGTCTGACCATCTCGGCGACTACGCCGACCACCTGGGTAGAGCCTCTGTTTATAAGAAAAACTTTGAAGAACCCACAAGGAATTCCATCACCGCAGGACAGCGCCGCACTCTACATGCTCACAAAAACTATTCAACAGCAAAATGCTGAGAGACGTCTGGTATCATGAAGTGTCGGACGACCGCATAGAGGATCGTCCGCCCAGCGAAATGCCCGAGCGGGCGACCGTCTAAAGGGTCGTCCGCCCCACGATCTATAGAGGATCGTCCGCCCAGCAAAGGGGCGGGCGTCCGCATAAAGGGCATCCGCCCAATGAAATGCCCGAGCCGCCCCAGGAAAAGGCGAACGCCCGTATCACTCGGGCGGACGCCCATATCACACTGACCGGCCAAATCACTAATCATTGTGGCTTAGGTAAGTCGGCCTGGTTTAGAGGTAAGTAGAAATTAGGAGCTATTGGGCTGTTTTGGGCCGTGATTAACTTTTCACTAATCCCAAGCCCATAGCGAAAACTATAAATACAGGTCCACGGTGAGTGGTAGATAGGTTACATTGAATGCACATTTATTGCTATCCCCTGAGAAAAGCCATTGCTCTGAATCTGACTTTGGCATCGGAGAATCTTTTGTAGGTCTCCACCCCTCCGGATAGAGAGAAAAGTCAAAGTTTGGAAAGAAGACCCGCCACCTGGAGGAGATAGAAGAAGAACTGGGAGGTTTGGAACCGCACAGCCCTACTACACATCCGAAACATTTGGCGCCCACCGTGGGGCCGTGTGACTTAAAAAACTCAATGGTGACCACGAGAAACATGAGCATAGACGATCCCGCCGAGATGATGCGCGTGTTACAACAGAAAATGGACGAGATGCAGCAGCGTCATGAGGAGGAAATGGCGGCCGTAAAGGCCGACTGCGAAGCCCGGATAGCCCGGGAGCTTGGACGAACAGACGGGGGAGAGCGAGCGACGGATAAAGGGAAGGGGGTGGAAGGAGATGGCCCGCCCCCCGAAACCGAGTACGATAGGACCTGGAGGCCCTCCGGGTCCGAGGCAGAGGGCAGCAAGGCTAAGTCGGTGCATGCTGAGAGCGCCGCCGAAGATGGGCGAATGGTAGTTAAGTCGGAGCCTTCATCCACCTTGCTACTTCCGTTCACCCAGAACATAATGAATGTCCAGATCTCGGAGCAATTCATGGCTCCGCAGTTCAAAATGTATAACGGGACAACGGACCCCGCGTCCCATATCCAGACATTCTCGAACGCGATGGCGTTCCGAACCGGCAATGACGCCATTTGGTGCCGAGCATTCTCGCTCTCGTTAGAAGACGAAGCACTGGAATGGTTCAACACCCTCCCTCCTAATTCTATAGAAAACTTTGCCGGATTGAAACAACTATTCATCAAACAATTCGCGGCCAGCAGCACTCAAGATTTGACCGTTTTCGAATTGATGACCCTCAAGCAGGGAAAGGACGAAACATTACGGACGTTTATGGATAGGTACCAGAAGACTGTCCGTCGTGTCAAAAGCCTGACCCCCGAACTCGCCCTTCACTATATCCTGCCCGCCCTGAAGCCGGGACCGTTCAAGGATAGTGTCTGCAGGCGTGCTCCGAAAACAATGGAGGAACTGAGGGAGAGAGCAGCTGACGAGATAAGGGTGGAGGAGATGAAACTCTCCTACAAAAAAGAGAATCAAGAAGTGAGAGGAGAAAAGCCGGACAGTAATAAAACCGGTTCATCGACGAGGAAAACCTTCGGCCTTAGACCCGGGGAGCAGAAGAAAGGACCCCGATTCCAGCAGTATACCCCTTTGAACGCCTCAAGGGAGAGAATTCTCCGAGAGGCCCTGAACGCGGAGCTGATAACGGAGCATGAAGGGCTCCCGACTTCGAAGAACGCTGACCGGAGCAAACATTGCTCCTACCACAAAAACATGGGTCACAGCACCGAAGAGTGCTGGACCCTCAAAGACAAAATAGAAGAACTCATCCGGGCGGGAAAGCTCAAGAAATACGTCCGAGACGAGCGCCCGCCGCAACAGACTGAACGGCCCGCCCAAAGACCGGCCTACCGAAAGGATAAGCCGCGGAACCCAAGAGCAGAGCGACCCCGCTCGGAGAGGCGCCCCAGCCGAAGCCGTAGCAGAGAACGCCCCCTGAGGGGGCATATCAATACCATTTTCGGAGGATTCGCGGGAGGAGGATCATCTTCCTCCGCCCGTAAGCGCCATATCCGGGCTCTCCATTCCGTCCATCTGGTCGATAAGCCGCGCCGCTCCATGCCGGCTATCACCTTCTCGGACGAGGACTTTCACGCCCCCGATCCCGACCAAGACGACCCAATGGTCATAACAGCAGAAATAGCACGTTACGGGATAAGAAAAGTCCTGGTTGATCAAGGAAGCTCGGTCAACATCCTCTACTGGAAGACTTTCCTGCAAATGGACATCTCGGAAGATCTGATCGTCCCCTACGATGGGAAGATAGTGGGGTTTGCGGGAGAGAGAGTCGACACGAGGGGATACGTGGAATTGAGGACGAGGTTGGGGATCGGGCGAGCAAGCGAGGAGAAGAGAGTCCGGTATCTGTTGGTGGAAGCTAGCACGTCATACAACGTACTGCTCGGAAGGCCGTGCTTAAACGCTTTTGGAGCGATTGTCTCTACACCCCACCTCACGATGAAGTACCCCTCTGAGAAGGGAACTATATGCACGGTCCGGGCGGACCAGAAGACGGCGCGAGAATGCTACGCAGCGGGTTTGAAGTTGCAAGTCCGTCCAGTGAAAAGACGGGCGGCTGGTTCTGAGGTAGCCATGGCCGACCTCGACCCGAGGACGAACACCGAGGACCGCCTGGAACCTATTGGGGAAACCCAACCTATCTTAATAGGAAGGGAACCCGCTCAGACCACCCTCATCGCCAGGAAGCTGAATCCTGAGATAGAAAAGGAGCTGAGGACACTCCTATGGAAAAACAGGGATTTGTTTGCATGGACGGCGGCGGATATGCCGGGCATCCATCCCGCAGTAATGAGCCATAAGCTCTCGCTTTTCCAGAACGCTCGCCCTGTAGCCCAGAAGAAACGGAGAATGGGTGAGGAGAAGCGTAAGGCTGTGGAAGAGGAGGTGGAGAAGTTGAGGAGGGCCGGCTTCGTCCGGGCAGTCACCTACACCACATGGCTAGCTAACGTGGTCATGGTGAAGAAGGCCAACGGGAAGTGGCGCATGTGCACTGATTACACGGATCTAAACAAAGCCTGCCCGAAGGATTCACACCCCTTGCCCAGCATTGACGCCCTGGTGGACGGCGCTTCCGGACACCGGCTACTAAGCTTCCTAGATGCATATTCCGGGTATAACCAGATACCCATGTACGGGCCGGACATTGAAAAAACAGCATTCATTACGGAGAAGGCCAACTTCTGCTACGAAGTCATGCCATTCGGCCTGAAGAATGCGGGAGCAACATATCAGCGCCTAATGGATAGAATCTTCCGTGACCAGATAGGCCGGTGCATGGATGTATATGTGGATGACATGGTTGTCCGGTCGGCAGACGGGGAGGGACACCTCAGGGACCTGGAGGAGGTATTCCGCCAAGTAAGGAAATTTGGCATGCGCTTGAATCCAGCAAAGTGTACATTCGGGGTAGCGGCTGGAAAGTTCTTGGGCTTCATGCTAACATCCAGGGGGATTGAGGCTAACCCGGACAAGTGTGACGCGGTATTGCAGATGCAGAGTCCGGCCACCCTTAAGGAAGTGCAGAGACTGGTCGGACGGCTCACGGCTTTGTCCCGGTTCATCCCCAAGTTGGCGGAACGGATGAGGCCGGTCCTACGTAAGTTGAAGAAAGGGCCCGGACCGTCTTGGGACGACGAGTGTGAGCGAGCGTTCCAGGACGTCAAAACCCTCCTTAGCAACCCACCTGTCATGAACCGCCCGGTCCCAGGAGGAGATTTACACATCTTCTTAGGAGTGTCCGAAACGGCCGTCAGCGCTGTATTGATGCAGGAACGGCCTCAGGCGAGGCTAGTTTACTTCGTGAGCCGTACGCTCTTAGACGCGGAAACCCGGTATCAACGGGTAGAGAAGGTGGCCCTGGCTTTGTTACATGCTTCCCGAAGACTTCGCCCATATTTTCAAAGTTATCAGGTCATAGTCTGGACGGACTTCCCAATCTCCAAGATCCTCAGGAAACCAGACCTAGCCGGGCGGATGGTAGCATGGGCGGTAGAACTCTCAGAGTTCGGCTTGCGCTATGAACCTAGGGGGTCGGTTAAAGGCCAACATTTGGCAAATTTCGCGGCCGAATTACCCCCTTCCGGCCAAGATGACTGGAACTTATACGTGGATGGGGCTTCCGGCCGATCGATCAGCGGGGCCGGCATCGTCCTTGAAGGCCCCAATGGATTCCTACTTGAGCATTCTTTGATATTCAAATTCAAAGTATCCAACAATCAGGCCGAATACGAAGCCCTTGTAGCTGGCCTCGAGTTGGCGAAGGACATGGGGGCGAGGAGGATAACCTGTCGGACGGACTCTGAGCTGGTGGTGGGCCAAATGAATGGCAACTTCCAAGTGAGAGAGGAACGCCTTTTGCGATACTACCAGAGGGCGACCAAGCTCGCCAAGGCGTTCGACAAAGTCGATATACAACACATTCCCAGGGAACAAAACACGAGGGCGGACATACTGTCCAAACTCAGTTCGGGAAAGGAAAAGGGACAGTTGACTACCGTCGTACGACAGGTTCTACTACAGCCTTCCGTGGAATGCTTAGCGGTATCCAACGGAGGACAAGATTGGCGCGCCGAAATCCGGGAAATCATGAACCGACAGGATGAGGGGCGGATGGTAGGTCCGGGTGAAGCTAAGAAAGTCGCCCGTTATCTTATCGTGGGGGATGACTTGTACAGAAGGGGATTCTCCTCCCCTCTCCTTAAGTGCTTGGGGGCCGAAGAGGCCCACTATGTCATGGACGAACTTCATAACGGCGTGTGTGGTCTCCACACGGGCTGGAGGACCTTGAAAGCCCGGCTACTGAGAGCCGGATATTATTGGCCTACCATGGAGGCGGATACAAGAGGGTTCGTCCAGAAGTGCGTCCGCTGTCAGGAACACTCCAATAATTCCCACCTTCCGCCACATGCCCTACATTCAATATCATCCCCTTGGCCATTCGCCCAATGGGGAATGGACATTGTAGGACCGTTCCCAGTAGGACAAGCTCAGAAAAAGTTCCTCCTGGTGGCGGTTGATTACTTCACCAAGTGGGTAGAAGCCGAACCTTTGGCAACCATCACGGCCGCCCAGGTCCAGAAGTTTTGTTGGAAGTTAATATGTCGCTTTGGCCTCCCTCAGTCCATCATCACAGATAATGGCCGGCAGTTTATTGACAAAAAACTCGCCGAGTTCTTCAAAGGGCTGGGGATCAAGCACATCACCAGCTCGGTAGAGCACCCCCAAACGAACGGTCAAGCTGAAGCAATGAACAAGACCATAGTCTCAGAGCTTAAGCGGCGTTTGGGAGAAAAGAAGGGAGCATGGGTGGACGAATTACCCGAGGTCCTATGGGCCTATAGGTGCACACCTCATGGAACCACAGGTGAAACCCCTTTCAACCTAACCTATGGTACTGATGCCATGTTGCCGGTTGAGCTGGGTGAACCGTCGCTGAGGCGGGAGGTTGAAGATCTGAACCTCAACGACCAAGAGTTGAGGATCGAGTTAGACTCCCTAGACGAACGGCGAGACCGGGCGGCATTGAGAGCCGAAGCGTGCAAACGAATGGTCGAAAGAAAGTACAACTCCAAGGTCCGCCCGAGAAGCTTCCAAGAAGGAGACCTAGTATGGAGGAAGGCAGGCGATGCCCGCCGAAACCCGACACACGGGAAGCTCGCCGCCAAGTGGGAGGGGCCATTCAAGATACTGGAAGCCTTCGGAAACGGGGCCTACAGGCTGGAACGCATGGACGGACGTCCCATCACCAACACTTGGAACGCCACACATTTGAAATTTTATTTTAGTTAATTTCAAATCTACCATTTCGATGTATTCATGAAATCAATCAAACCAAATATTTGTTGGCTCCTGCGAAACATCTTGTATAAATTCAGTAGAAAAGTTTTCAGCGCAATTCTCGGCCAGATCGACCGAGGAGAAGGAATCGTCCGCCCTACCAAACTCCAAGCTGAAGAGTGTTCCAACGAGAACAACTCTCGGCTTGGTGGGGCGACGCCGCGAGAGAATCGTCCGCCCTACCAAACTCCAAGCTCAAGAGTGTTCCAACTAGAACAACTCTCGGCTTGGTTGGGCGACGCCCCAAAAGAGTCGTCCGCCCTACCAAACTCCAAGCTGAAGAGTGTTCCAACGAGAACAACTCTCGGCTTGGTGGGGCGACGCCGCGAGAGAACCGTCCGCCCTACCAAACTCCAAGCTGAAGAGTGTTCCAACGAGAACAACTCTCGGCTTGGTTGGGCGACGCCCCAAAAGAGTCGTCCGCCCTACCAGACTCCAGGCTGGCAAGTGTTCCAACAAGGAACTCCCAGCTTGGCCGGGCAAGAAAGTGGACTGGACCGACCATCTCGTTAACAACCGCTCAAGAAAAGCGGGGGCAACCCCATCCCGGCCGGTCCATCATTAAAACTGGACAAAAGTAAAGGCGAGTAAAGACATGCAAAATTAAAAAGCTGTGTATTAATCATTTGCGCTCAAAGGCGCTGAGATTTACAAAAAAGACCACCCGGCCAACATCTGGAACACTCGAGACGTTGGACGGATGGTCAAAAGATACACATCCAAAAAATTCTTAAAGAAAAATTTTAATTATTCCCGCCCCCGGCGGCCTCCACAGTTGGCTCATTCTCCTCGACGGCATTCAAATCCACGAGGACGCCGTTGAAGACGTCCTTCTCTATATCCACGCCAAGAGCAAAGGGATCCTTGACGCCCGCCAGAAGGGTCACTTGCCGAAGGGCTTTGTTGAAGCCCTCCTCATGTTCAAAAAGGATGGTGGACTCCAACTCACCAATTTGTTCCTTGGCCTTAGCTATTTCGAGAGTGAGCCCCTCGTTAGCCTTGGCCTGGCACGATTCGGCCTCCTTGGCACGGGTCACCTCCGCCTCCAGCAGCTCAATCTTCTGGCGACTCTCTTCCGCCAACCGCTCCTGCTCGACTCGGGCGGCTGTCAACCCTTCAGCGGCCTCCCTTTTGGCTTTTTCCAGGTCGGCCTCCAGCTGCTCGATCCTCTTGTCATACTCATCTTGATTGAGGACCATCTCTTCCAAAGTAAGCTGAAGAGAGGCAGCGTTCTTCTTCTCCCGGTCAAGCTCGGCCCGGACTTCAGCCACTCCGGGGCGGTCCGCAAATTCCTTCAAATACCAAGCTAAGGCGGATGTCCGGGTTGACATCTCCAGCATGGCGTTAGTAAGCTCCAACTCGGAAAGTGGTTCAATGAGCGCCCGTTGGGAGGAGCTCATGTGAAATTTGGCCCGATCACTCATGCTGAAGGCCGGGCTAAAAATGCCGCCAGGAAGAGGGACGGCCGGGGCTTTCCCCCGGTCCTTCTCCTTGTCTTTGCCCTTCCGGGCTTTCTTTGAAGCTGAACGAGATGACGACCCCTCTTTATCTCGTCTTCCCTCTGCAGTAGGATCTGTTCTCTTGCGCTTCGAGGGATCAGCTGAAACAGTGGCCGCCTCGGGCAAGGGATCCACTTGGGCGGCTTCCAATTCTGGTTGGGGATTGGAAGGCGGTGCTTGCATGTTGGAACCCCCGGTTTCGGCAGCAGGAGGGACTCCTACCTTAGGAGTAGTGCGAGCAGTCACCTGGCGGACACCCGAAGGAGGAGGACGGGGCGCATCTGGAACAACAGTCGGCCGGGCGGTCGACGAGCTAGCCCCAGACTTCTTCCGCAGTGCGAAAAAGTTGGATTTGCGGGGACCCGGGTTTGTCATTAATTCTGCAAGAAACAGGAAAATTCAGAAAATTTAACGTCAGTATGCGAAAAACAAATACACCCAATGGGACAAGACCATACCGAACGCCTTTGGTCCACAGTCTTCGAGACTAAGGCATTCGACCAAATGGCGGGCGGAGATCCGGCGGGGGAGGGCGTTAATAGTGCGGACAGCTTCTAAGTCGGCCGCAGTCAAGGCTCCTGTTGAAGTCGCCCTTATGTGTCGAGGATCCCTCGTCCAGTAAAGTGGAAATAGCGGCCTTCCTTCATCGTCAGTAAATTCGCGGATGCCGATTTTGTTAACAATTATTTTGAAGTAGTGCTGTTTAAAATTTTTAAACGAATCGGAGAAGGGGCGGAAAAGGGTCCTGCCCCGTACCGATCTAAAGGACACCCAGCCGCCAGAACGAGATGGGCGGACTACGAAGTAATGGAAGAAGACCGGGATAGTGGGCGTGACACCTACTGCCAAACACATAGCGAGAAAAGCTTGCACGGCCGCCCACGAGTTGGGGTGCAGTTGTGTTGGAGCCACGTTAACCTCCCGAAGAATAGCCGTTTGAAATTTAGTGAAGGGGACCCGGATAAAAAGGTGGGTAAAGAAAGTCACATACATGAAAAAGAAGTCATACGGACTAGACCGCCCATCATGGAAGACCCTCTCATTTAGTAGAGTTACCCCGGCCCGAATTAACTTAGAGTCCTCCACATCCCGGACGATATGGGTATGGCGAATCCGCCACTCCAACTCCTTGCGGAAGGCGTAGCAAGAAGCATACCGGCTAGGAACAGGGGGAGCCAAGTCAGATTCGACCACCCCTTGACCTTCCGGTTCAAAGGGGGACCCGACCACGGAAATACCGCCCTTTAGCAGGAATAGCGGCACGCCATGGAAAATCCGGTCGTCCGCCGATGCTGATGACTCGTGGTCCGCCCCAGAGGACCCAATCACCTCCTCCAAAAAATGAGAAGAAACTGAGCTGAGAGAATCGCTGCTGTCGCCCCGCGCCGACCCCTCCCGGACTCCGCCCGACGACCCAGAACCTGACTCTATTGACACAGATGCCATTTATTACCTGAGGGAAAAAGAATCTTCAACTCGTAAGTAATGAGGATAAGTGAAAATGACATCCTCTGATCCGCTATTTATAGGAAAAATTCAGTAACCGTTGGGTGTATCCTAGCCGTCCAGATTTAGCACGACCAACGCTCCGGATTTGGCGACGGTTGACCTCCCGACAATGAGAACGCGACACGTGTTTTCCCGCTTAAAATCCAAATTCAAAAAGCCCAATGGATAAAGCCCAATTGCGGGTTCCTGAACCAAAGCGCGCCATATCCAAAATCCTACGTTCACTACGTGCACTAGGACTTGGGGGGCTTGTGTACCAGTGAGAGCCGGGCGCCGTACGAAAGGCGCCCATGAGGTGACGGGGCGCCGCCCAAAGGACGCCCATGTCACACCCGCCATAGACAAATGCTGGACCGCCCCAGTCTTAGCCGACCAAGGACGCCCATGTCACGCCTGCCACAGAGAAAAGCTCTGCCGCCCAGTATTGACCGCCCCAGCAGATACGGACTGAACCTAGCCCGTATAAACTCTCCTGCACCAGCAAAATGTCCGGCATCACACGTATGGACGCCCACTAATGTGGTCGTCTGACCATCTCGGCGACTACGCCGACCACCTGGGTAGAGCCTCTGTTTATAAGAAAAACTTTGAAGAACACACAAGGAATTCCATCACCGCAGGACAGCGCCGCACTCTACATGCTCACAAAAACTATTCAACAGCAAAATGCTGAGAGACGTCTGGTATCATGAAGTGTCGGACGACCGCATAGAGGATCGTCCGCCCAGCGAAATGCCCGAGCGGGCGACCGTCTAAAGGGTCGTCCGCCCCACGATCTATAGAGGATCGTCCGCCCAGCAAAGGGGCGGGCGTCCGCATAAAGGGCATCCGCCCAATGAAATGCCCGAGCCGCCCCAGGAAAAGGCGAACGCCCGTATCACTCGGGCGGACGCCCATATCACACTGACCGGCCAAATCACTAATCATTGTGGCTTAGGTAAGTCGGCCTGGTTTAGAGGTAAGTAGAAATTAGGAGCTATTGGGCTGTTTTGGGCCGTGATTAACTTTTCACTAATCCCAAGCCCATAGCGAAAACTATAAATATAGGTCTACGGTGAGTGGTAGATAGGTTACATTGAATGCACATTTATTGCTATCCCCTGAGAAAAGCCATTGCTCTGAATCTGACTTTGGCATCGGAGAATCTTTTGTAGGTCTCCACCCCTCCGGATAGAGAGAAAAGTCAAAGTTTGGAAAGAAGACCCGCCACCTGGAGGAGATAGAAGAAGAACTGGGAGGTTTGGAACCGCACAGCCCTACTACACATCCGAAACATTTGGTATTTGACCCAACTTCCTCCTGGAAAGAAATCCTTTGGGTGTAGATGGGTTTACAAAGTTAAACACAAAGCTGATGGGACTGTGGAAAGATATAAAGCCCGACTGGTTACCAAAGGTTACACTCAACAAGAGGGGATAGACTTTTTAGATACTTTTTCCCCTGTTGCTAAACTCACTACTATCAGGCTTTTACTTCCCCTTGCTGCATCAAGAGGTTGGTTTCTACATCAACTTGATGTGGACAATGCTTTTTTACATGGAGATTTAAATGAGGATGTTTACATGGATCTTCCACTTGGTCTAAACACTGACACAAAAGGGCAGGTCTGCAAGCTAACTAAATCTCTATATGGCTTAAAATAGGCCAACCAACAATGGTTTGACAAGCTGTCCACTTTTCTTATTTATGGTAATTATGTTCAATCTAAATCTGACCATTTCCCTATTCATCAAGAAAACTCCCACAGATTTCACTGCTTTACTTGTATATGTGGATGATGTTGTATTGGCATGAAACTGTATGAGGGAGATCACTCACATAAAGACTCTTTTACATCACCAATTCCAGATAAAGGATTTGGGAGAACTCAAATACTTTTTAGGGTTTGAAGTTGCTAGATCCAAAAAGGGGATACATCTTTGCCAAAGAAAGTATGCCCTTGAC